ATAATAGGCCGCAGATTAGATGAGTCAGCCGTACGGCTTGAGAAGGCCTTAGACTTTCTATCACGTGATAAAACAGAAATAGAGAAAGCTACAGACGCACTGGTTTCCCGCTTGTTCTGTAAACATTTGTGAATGTTGCTGCTATTATAGCGGGGACCCGACACATATCACAGAGCTGTTATCAGTTGTTTTTGGTTCACCTACAGCAGATGGAGGGTTTGGGCCCTGGCGTTGTGGCAGCGGCCGGAGAGCTCTCACAGGAGGAGGAAGACGAGCTGGGCCCACAGGCTTTGGTGGCTGTGGGGCCCATCGTTTTTTAGTTGATATCTGGGGACTTGCAGCGAAAGAGTGGGAGAGTTTGGTCCCAGCATAAACCAGTTCCTCTATTTTCTATGAGAAGCTTAGAAGTGGAGATGCTGGAGAGAGGGATAATGTGTCTGGTGAGCGGGGCTGTGGCTCTGGTGTTTCCGGTGGCTGAAATATGTTGTCCTGGCTTCCCTGGCTCTTCCCTGGGATTCCTGTTCAAATCTGTTCTCAAGATGTATAGGGGGTGGTAGAATACCAGTATTCACAAGCCTTGTCATAGCCGTATCTGGGGAGCAGGAAGCCAGGGCGGAGTTGAGGACCACCAGGGTGGAGCAGGTGGGACTGAAGACCACCACAGCAGAGCAGATGGGACCGAAGATCCTCACGGTGGAGCAGATGACCACTTCAGTGGAGTGTGAGTTCAGAAGTGGACGCCGCTGCCTCGGGAGGTTCTGCAGCTCAAGAGTGGCATGGCGAGGTGGCCATCTTGGCCAGGGGCTCAGCCGTGGTGGTCATCTTATGAAGAGGTTCTTGAGTGGCGGCCATCTTGTGAAGAGGCTCTTGAGAGTTGGCCATCTTGTGAGCAGGCCCTGGCTTTACAGACATGATGGGAACAGGCCCTGGCTTGGGAGGCATGATGTGAATAAATCCAGACATGATGGTCGGGATGTGAAAATGCTCTGGTGTGGTGGGTACTGGAGGATTGCAGGGTTCCTCATCAGCAATCCCCACAGTAAATGAGGAATGGGGTATTGTGTGGGGTATGTGGTGGCGTTAAACACGATATTCCTTTAGTTAAGCCAAAACTAAAAATTACTAATAGGGCAATGTCATTAAAACCCACCTGGTCACACAGTTCACAAAACTCTGCCACGTAATCCTCAATAGGCCGATCTCCCTGACGAAGATGAATGAGGCGAGAAACTGGATCCATAGCTGGTCTGGTGTTTGGTAAAGCTGCTGGATCTATGGTGGGTGAAGTCTTCTGTAACAGACAGGGTGTGACAAAGAAGATACAAATGCGAGCTTTTATTAAAAGTGATCTTGGTCAAAACAGGCAGGGTCGAACACCAGCAAACAACTATATATCCAGGGCAAGGCAAAAGAGTAATCCAAAACAGGCAAAGTTCAGGGCAGGCAGCAAACAATAACAAAAAACAGGGAAACAGTCCAAGGTCAAAAACACAGGCAAGGCAAAAACAAGGCAAGGCAAATAAAAAAAACACGGCAAAAACAAGATAAGGAAAACCAGGAAACACGCTCAGTAATGTCCACCAGTGAAACAAGACTTTGCAAAGTGAGTGTGTCTGTGTTAGTCGCTTCATGAAGCTTCGAAACCTTTGTGAATAATTTGTTTCGAAACAGTGGTTCGGAGCGCGTATCAAAATGCCAAAGTCACGTGATTTCAGTAAATGAGGCTTCGTTACATCATAACTGTTTGGAAACGTTTCTAAATTCAATAGTTTGCCATTGGGGGACGATGATGTTTGTGTGAACCTGTGAATCATGCAAGTTCATTTAGATCGCCTCCCAGCGGCGAACCATTGAACCAGTGTCTCTGATCTCGGATCAGTTTTATCAATTTGTAGACATTTGTGTAATTAAAAGGATGAGAAGTAGTTAATAGTCTCTTTCTGGCCTGTTTAGACAAGCTCTCCATAAAACAAACAAAAAGCCCTGCAAATTAATAAATAAAATTTAATTTAAAAAAAAAACATATTATAGAGCTCCGGAGTTGACGTCACGCAATCTAAACTCTGCCATTTTGGCAGGCAGTCAGGAGAGCACTAGAGTGGCTGTAGTATTGGTATCGACAGTAGTTGAACAATCATTTAAAATTAGACTGTTTAGATCTTACAAACCTTACTATTTCAACATGGTGGACAGCTGCTGTGTGCCAGGATGCCAGAATAGGCAGGGGAAAGCAAAGGGGAAATCATTTTATCGTATTCCTAAGGATCCCGATAGACGACTAAAATGTTTCACTGCAATAAAACGTTGTATTTTTATTAATTTTTTGGTCTTTTATCTCAGTATTCCTATAAGTGTTGTATAAGGGTTTAGAACATGAAAGAGTTTAAAATGTGTTAAATAATTGGGCTGATATAGGCTATTTAAGAATTTTCAGTATACACATTATCCCACCGGTCACAATTGTGACCGAACATAAAACACAGTTTTTCACAAACTTTTCTTAAAAAAAAAAAATATATATATAAAATAGGCCTATACATTTTTTTTTAATCCATCCCACAGTCTTGTAAGTCCATTAACTGATCGTCTTTTTTCCATAATATTTGTATATTATTATTATAATTATTTTGGTTATATTTTTATATTCATTGTTATGTATTTCATTTCGATCTCTTTACTTAACCTTCTGAATATTTTTGTAAATAATAGCCTACTGTAAATGCTCGACATGCAAATAAAGCTTTGATTATGCTGTATGACTGGAATTTTTACTGGAAGTGCAGTTTAAAGGTTGAATTTAACATATATTTCATTTTATTTCAGGTAATTAATAGACTATAATTATAAATACTATAGTGTTTCGTTGAGGAATGAATCATTCATGTATCATTTGTAAATGAAAACAACACACTTATTTATCGTCACACAGGGGCGTAAATACAATCATAAAGTCAAAAATATATTGGCATAATTGTCAGGCGTTTACAGTATTTGCAAAATATATGCTAGCATATTTATAATAATTATACAGAACGTTAATTAAGTAACGTGATACATGAATTGAAAGGGGGAATACAACAATAAATATAAAAATATAGCCCTAAACCAGTTAATATAATAATATTATGATTATATTACAGTGTAATAATATTAACAATATACAAATATTAAATAAAAAGACACGATCAGTTAACAAATTTACAAGATAAAAATGTTTTATCCATCTCTGATAATCGCAGGTTGCTATGGTCATGCAGGTTTGTTTATACATCAAACTTGATGTTGAAAAATATGTTGTTCCCTCAAAATAAGAAGTCGTGGCGATGAGAAATGGATGTTGTTCCCTCAACATAGGATCTGAAGGCCACGACTTCGCATCACAACATTTTATCACGTTCCCACGAGTTAATATGACGCTTCCACAAATTAATATCTCGTGGCCACAACATATTATCACATTCCCACGAGTTAATACGTCGTGGCCATGACAAAACTAAGTGAACGGAACATACCCCTGCCCGGTCACCGTACAATAATCAGGTAAATGACAATTGTCCTAAAAATGTGACTCTAAAATGGGCAGGGCTTCATGACACATCATTGTTTCACATTGGTCAGATATGAATAAGATTATTTCTTTTAACCCTACATCATGTGTTAATCATAATAATGTCATCATAATAATTTTTCTTTTTTAAAGATGAATGAATGTACTTGTTTTCTGATCTGATATTCATATCAACAGTCTCTTACTCATGTGATCTGGATTAAACATTGGAAACATGACAAAAGATGAAAGCAGGAAGATCCAGACCTACAGGAGTAACTATTACTAACTATTGAAGGGTACGATCCTCAGAGAGTCAGGACTACTGAAGAATGGGAAGAGTGTGTTATTGAAGGTAGTTTTGAATGTGTGTAGATGTGTGTTAGTTACAGGATCAGAGAATGACACCTTTCCTCTGTCATAGTCCAGATTCACTCTCACACGATCAAGCTGCTGTTGAACACGAAAACCAGAACGCAAAGACCGTCCGTACTGATACACACTCCAGACATCATTGTTAAAACAATCACGTCCCTTCCTGGGGTTTGATGCTGTAGTTACTCCAACAGTCCAGGCTGAACTCTCTTTAAGCTCCACATCCCAGCAGTGTGTTCCTGAGTTAAAACCCTCTGAACCCAGAACACAGGGAAACTCATCAAATCTCTCTGGATTATCAAGAATAGTTTGATTGTTCCTGCTGTATCTCACACTGGTCAGATCATCAGACAGGACGAGACGTGGATGAGCCGTGTTTGGATCCAGAATCACAGGAGCTGATGAGACACAATCAACAGATGCTGTTATTCTGATGTTCATATAACATACCTGTCAACATTTGGGTCCCAAAAAAATGGGAGCTGGGGGGGAGGGGGAAAAAGTATCAATTATTATATTATATTATTATTATATTATGCTAAAATAACAACAACTTACTGACACATAGTAAGAAATGGTTATAAAAAAACTGAAACAGAAGTGAAACAAGTAGTAGGAATTTAATTATTTAATATTAATATTCATTTAATTATGAATATTAATAATTTAAACAATTATTATCAAACAATTATTTAAACTGCGTGTTTTCTGCATAAAAATAAGGGTCGTTTTTGGCTTTGGACTAAAACAAAAAGCAGAAGGGCTTATTGAAAAATGCTAATTCATTCTCTCTTCATTCTTTCGCTTTTCGCCAGGAATATAGCCATTTCCCCGGTAACCACAGTAAAGCAGCGCAGCATCTGATTTTGCAACTTGCAGCGCTCATATTTAATTAATTAAACCATAGCCTTTTGAAGTGTAAGCTATATCTGAATTTGCATGTATATTTGTTTTTTCCACTGGAGCACCTCCTGAGTCTTCTCCTCCCGTCCAATTTCTACCAGTGATCCTTTCCTTCCCGCGGTACTCATCACTGTTGCAGGTTGCCAGGTTGAGGGGACAAATGGGTTGAAATTTGTATGTGTCGATTGTGTGAAAAGGATGCGTTTCATACAAGATCTGGCAACTGGGCAACCTTGGAAGTCATTTGAGAGACTGGTGTTGGCCTACCTGAAGGACATTACTGGACCCTTGCTGGATCCTCTTTAGTTTGCTTACAGAGCAAACAGGTCTGTGGATGATGCAGTCAATATAGGAATGCACTACATCCTCCAGCATCTGAACAAACAGGGACTTATGCAAGAATCCTGTTTGACGACTTCAGCTCCGCTTTCAACACTATCCTCCCGGATACCCTTCTGAATTAAATGACACAGCTCTCTGTACCCACCTCCATCTGTCAGTGGATCATCAGCTTCCTGACAGACAGGCAGCAGCTAGTGAGGCTGGGCAAACTCACATCCAGGACTATCACCATCAGTACTGGCGCCCCTCAGGGATGTGTTCTCTCCCCACTGCTCTTCTCCCTCTACACCAATGACTGCACCTCTAAAGACCCCTCTGTCAAACTCCTGAAGTTTGCGGACGACACTACAGTCATTGGCCTCATCAAGGGTGGAGATGAGTCTGCTTACAGACAGGAGGTTAAAGAGCTGGTTGTCTGGTGCAGTCACAACAACTTGGAGCTGAACACTCTCAAAACAGTGGAGATGATCGTGGACTTCAGGAGAAACCCCCCTGCACTTTCCCCACCCACCATCATGAACAGCACTGTGGCTGCAGTGGAGTCATTCAAGCTCCAGGGAACCAACATCTCTCAGGACCTGAAGTGGGACAATCACATTGACTCAGCAGAGGCTGTACTTCCTTTGCCAGCTGAAACATTTCAACCTGCCACAGGCACAGATGACAAATGTTCTGCTCTGCTGTTATTGAGTTGGTTCTGTGCACTTCTATAACTGTCTGGTTTAAGTCAGCCAGCAAATCAGATATAAGAAGACTGCAGCGGACTGTTAGGACAGCAGAAAGGATATTTGGTGTGCACCTGCCCAACCTTCAGGACTTGTACAACTCCAGAGTGAAGAAATGGCCAGGTAACATCATCACAGACTGCTCCCTTCAGGCAGACGCTACAGATCTCTGTGCACTAGAACATCTAGGCATAAAAACAGATTTTTTACCCCCATGCCATCTTAAACAGCTAACACAGAAATGACCACCTGTTTTCTGTAATTAATTCATTCTATTAATTCTTGAGAGAGAGGAAACAATTAGATATAATGTACATACAAGTGCATATTTGTTTATACAGCTGATAATACAGTACACAATGCACAAACCTGTACATAAACCTTCTGTTCCAGATGTATACCACATTATTATTATTATCATTATCATTTTCCTTGATCGTATTTAAATGTTCTCTTATTCTTGTGTCATATATGTATGATTATGTACATGTATGTATGTATGTACCAAGAGTTCCTGAAAAACCACAAACAAAAAATGTCCTTGTGTGTTTGTGCACACTTGGCGAAAGCTTATTCTGATTCTGATTCTGAAACAATGTTAGCAACAAACCAAAACAATCTAACAACATGTTAAAATATGTTAGCAACATGCTAAAATGCTAGCCATACATCATAGCAATCATATAGCAATCTATTTATCCATGTTTCTGAGAGACCTATTCCTTAAGTGCTTGGAGGAAGTAAAGTTGTGGATGGCTGAAAATCTCGTTCAATTGAATGAAAATAAAACAGAAGTTATTATTTTTGGTCGCACAGCTGGTAGCCTGATGGTAAACGATAACTTGGGCCCATGGAAGGTGTACCTGCAGGATCAAGTAAAGAACTTGGGAGTCATTTTTGACTCATCTCTCATATTTGATTGACAAATATAGACGGTGGTCCGTAATTGCTTCTTTTATCTAAGGGCAATAGCCAAATTTAAACAAATTCTTCCAGCCAGGGACCTGGAAAAAGTTGTCCATGCCTATATTTTTTCCCGTCTAGACTAGTATAGTGCTCTTTATGTTGGGACTTGTCATAAACATGTTGCTCGCTTGAAGTTAGTACAAAATACTGCTGCAAGGTTGTTAATGAATGCTAGGAAATCAGATCATGTTACTCCCTTATTGTCTTTTTTAGGATGGTTACCAGTACAATTTAGGATACAATATAAGATTTTGATATATGTCTTTAAAGCTCTTCACAGAATGGCGCCAGAATATCTAGTTGAGCTTATTAAGCCCCACAGTCCAAGCGTAATACTAAGATCATCAAATAAGTTTCTCCTAACTCTCCCTCATGCACGTCTCAAATTGAAGGGTGATTGTGCTTTCTCCGTCGCTGGTCCAAGACTGTGGAACAACAATCTGCCACTTGATGTTAGATCTTCCTTATTAACTTTAAATGTTATTAAGGATTGTTTCAAGCGACAGCTGAAAACTCATCTCTTTCGAAGCTACTTGACTTCATCATCATATAAAAAATAAAAAATAATAATATTCTATCTCTTTATTTATTCCTTCTCTTTCTAGCTTGTACTTATTTGAACAATGTCTAAAAACTTGGTATTACAAGCACTTCCTGTATCTGTTTGCCTCTTTTAAGAAGAATCGCTTTATGTATCCCCCAATTGTAAGTCGCTTTGGATAAAAGCATCTGCTAAATGTCTAAATGTAAATGTTAGATCTTCCTTAACTTTAAATGTTTTTAAGGATCGTTTGAGATCATATTTGTACTCCCTGGCATTTTAGTATATGGATGTTTGCTGTGAAGAGCATGCAGCAGGTCCTTCTGTGCTGGTAGAGTCAAAATGTCATTAGTTGAATAGATATTCATTATTACAACAGCATTTGAGGTTCCTCAGATCAGCACACTGACAGAACCTTAGGCTGGTTTCACACCACAAGCGTGGGTTTCGCGTCAGCTTCACATTAGCGTAACTACATCGTCACTGCAGCTGCAGACTTGCAGAGTATTCACACTGGAAGCGTCTGTACAGCGTCAGAGCAGCGGCTCCAAAGTTACATATTTCTTTACACAGACAACTATAAATTTGTTTTTAGAAGTTGGTCATTTATAAACTTCAAAGTTTTAAAATCTTGAAAGTTTGTTAACATGGGATTCATCTGTTAATTGTAAACAACAAACACAACCAAGAAAACCGCTCTGATCACGTCTTTTCAGACATACTTTGATGTAGATTGTGCTGTTTATAATGTTATTTTTTTTAATACACCATACTTTCACCCAAACTGAATAATTAAAAACAAGTTTAAATGGGTAAATCTTCTATACATATTTTTGATTCTTTATTTAATTTTCTGACATACTCCAATTCTAGTTAAAACACACTAGACCTGCTTATTCTGTGCATTTTTTGCACTTTTTGTGTGAAATCATATTTATTTTGTCCATCAAAAGTGTGCCGTCACTTTGATTGAGCGTAAGCTGCACAGCAAAATTAGACTCTGCGCCGCAATCATCGCTTCAGTGCTGCTCCTGCTCCCGGTGTGAATGCACTCATTTGTTAACATGCATGCTGAACAAAAATATGTGCTGCTCACGCGCCACTCACGCTTGTGGTGTGAAGGAGAAAGTTTAAATAGGCCAGTTCTCTGATGAGTTTATGAAATGTTCGTCCAGAAGCACCATCATAAGGCACTTCAAATATGTTCCTGGAGCACACAGGGTTCCAGTGTATCAGTCAGAAGAAGCCCAGATGATGCTTCACGTATCTTTTCATTTTTATACTGTTCTGGAATTGAGTAGATGAAGAAAGAAGAATCATTATAAGAACATAATTGAAAGTACTGATTATATAACCTTTCTACAAACTAATAATCTAGTACACGTGATTGTCTCATGAGGAACCTTTAACTCTCCCCCCATCCGTCATTTCCAGTGTGTGTGTGCGAGCTCAGATCTTCTGCAGTCATACTCACTGTTCTGGACGATGTCCTGCATCTTCTTCCAGACTCTGAACGGCAGGTTACCCAAGTAACGCGGCACATGAATCAAAGCTCCAGAAAGCTGTGGATCCGGCTGTGATGAGATCTGGACTCTGGAAGAACATTCAGGATCAGAACTGCAGTGGCTTTGGATCAGAAGCAGAGAGAGCAGAGACAGCAGCAGATCACTCACCTTTCCATTGAGACGAGAAACTCCTGCAGAACAAACACACCATTGATCATCAACAACTCAATCAATCATCAATCAACCATCTTAAATCAGACCTTCAGAAAGCAGACGTAACTGGATCTCATCATCTCCTCCATGTCTTTGATTGTGTGTGAAAGAGCTGAGATGTGTCTGTTCATCTCCTCCAGCTTCTCCTTCATCATCTGCTTCTTCTGCTCCTCTTCCTCCCTCAGTGCAGTGATTGTAGCTTCTTCTTCATCTCTGACAAACCGATGAAGCTTCTCAAACTGCTGTTTAATCTGATGCTCTGTGTGCTCAGCTTGAGACTGAAATCAAACCACATTCTCTTCAATCATCTATATCGACATACATCAACACATCACATCATTCATATCTGAGATTAACTCTGATACTGACATATAACCTGATCCAGAAGCAGATTGCTGCTCGTCATTTACAAAAACAACAAACTGGAATCCATTATATTAAATATATAAAATCATAACTGTATATACTGATTCTACAGCTGTAATGACATTCAGTTTCCTCACCTTAATGTGTTGAACTGTTTTCTCAAATTCTCCTTTCAGTGTTTCATTGTGTTTCAGTTTCTCTTGTAAGGACTTCAGTGCTGTATTGAGCTCCTCCTAGAATTAAACAAAAACACATTTAAAAAACAAACAAACAAAAACAGATTACAGTGAACAGAAGAAGAGAAGACAATACCGTGATATGATCATATAATGCAGTGAAAAATATTTGCCCCCATCCTGATTTCTTCTGTTTTTGTGTATGTCTCATATATCTCAAAAGTTGTCCAATACCAACTGAGCCTGCGTGAAAATGTATTTGTCTCTGTACAACAAATCAACACTTAAATGGGACTTTTCAACAGCATGAAGTTCTCTTGCTCTTAAACAGTTACACACTATAACACACATGAAAGAAATTACAAGAATGATGAGGAAGAAAGTGATTGAAAGGATTACAAAGCTATTTCAAAGGCTCTTGGACTCAAATAATCACAAATACCGCTTTTCCACTGGGGCTGGTGCCCAGTTGGAAACCGGGCTTTGCTTTTCTGCTCAAAAAATCCTGGGCCGGTGCCCAGATCCTGCTTACGAACCGGCCCCGAAACCTTGCTGGTCATGAGCAAGGGAACCTATGATGTCAGTAGGCGGAGATTCCACTACAGACCACAGTTTGAAAGGCACTTGTATTTTTAAAAGCCGTCAGAGTTTAGTTAAATTAACAACAACAATTACGCTCTCCTTCTGTAAGAGATAACAAGCGATTCTAGTCACATGTTAGTGACGTAGAGGGTTCTGCTCCTTGCCAGTGGAAACACGAGCCGGTTCTGAACGAGTGTCACCCTAGGCCGAGCACCGGCTCCAGCTCTGGCACCAGCCCCAGTGGAAAAGCAGTAAGTGAGAGCCATTATCTCCAAATGGAACAAACTCAGCACAGTAGGGGGGAACTAAACTGTAATGAGCCTTTAATTTACTGTATAGCCTAGTCCACGCTTAAGCTTGCCACAAAGCACTGGCAAGAGTAATGACCACTTGTTGGGAAAAATAGCAAGGAGATATTTTAATTATTCAATAAAAATGTCATGTTTCTGTTCTGTGCTTTTACATTTTGTTTTTCTCTGTATTTCTGTCCCCCTGCATTAGTTCCCTGGTTAGTCTTTTTCCTTAGTAATCCATTAGTCTCATTGGTTGTTAATTAGCCCTACACTTGTTCTGTTTCTTCATGACTGCATTCTCTCCTATATTTAAGCCCTCTATTTCCCTCAGCTCTCTGTCTGGTATTGTTTTGGTGATGTTGGTTTGTTGTGTTTTGGATTTACGTTTGGATTACAAGCGTTCTATATTCGTTTTGTTTTATTTATACATTTTTTTTATAATGGAATTGTCAGCCGCACAGCTCCTATGCCTGGAGCAGTTGGACCGTTCACTGGCGTGCCTTACGCACTACCCCAACCGCTTGCTCTGTGTATTTTATATCACCAGCCTGAGCGAGTGGTGTAAGGCATGCCTGACAGCGAACGGTCCCCGAGAGGATTTCACCGCTTTTGTGGAGTGGGTGCTGGTGAATTGTGGATTACCGTTTACCATCGACACCACGGAGGAATTCACCAGCCCCACTCCCAATCCAGAGCCCAGCCAGCCTTCACTGAGCACTCGCCAGAGCCCACCGCAGAGCCCAAGCCCGCCGAGACCAAAGAGCCTGAGCCAATAGGAGCGACACAGCGGAACATCACCCTGGAGCCCGAGCTCGACGACGCAACTGGCCAGGTGCATTGTGTGATGGGAATGGATTATAACCCCGCCTACACTCCCACCACTGAGGGTGAGCTGCCGCTGACCTCTGGACTACTAGACTGTTTAAATGAGCATGAATACTTGCTTCTCCCTTCCCCGCTGGTCCTGCTGAGCTCTCATTCGTCTCCGCTGGTCCCGCCCAGCTCTCCTTCATCTCCGCTGGTCCCACCCAGCTGTCATTTGTCTCCGTTGGTCCCGCCCAGCTCTCCTTTGTCAGCCAGCTCCTCATCTGCAATGTCGGGAAGGTTCCCACCCAGCCTCCCACTCCCTCCTCCTCTGTCTCATCCTGCCAGTCCATTGACCCTGTGTCAGCTGGCCACTGG